TTCTCTTTCTCCTCATTTTGGCTGCCTCCCTGTGTTTGTGTCTATGTATTAGGTAGAGCTGCTATGTCTCCCAGTCTTAATAGAGTGGCCTTATGTAGTAGGTGTGCTGTAGGACCCAGTGGTGCAGTCTCCCAGGTCACCTGAGCCAAGTACTCCAGGTGTGTCCCTTGTGTGGGTTGTGTGTGTCCTCCTGTTGTAGTTGAGTCTTGATTGCTGTGTGCACATCAGTGGGAGGGGTCGACCCTCAAACTGAGTGGTTGCAAGGACTGGTTGTGCCTACAGTGGAGGGCTGTTGTGCAGGGGCTGACCCTACGGAGCAGGATTTGCTTTAGCAGGGCTCTGGTGCCTGCCCAGTCTGCCCTTTGGGTGAGTCATTTGTGGAAGTAGCCTTGTGGTGCTCTGGTATATTCCAAAGCAAGCCACCCAGAGTGCTGGCTGAGGACTCCTGGGAGGGTCCCCAGCACAAGCCAAGTTCAGCTTCTGCCTGTGCCCTGCTCGGGGTCACCTGGAAGGAGCCACAAAGCAACCCACAGATGTCTTCCTCCTGTGCTGGGCTTGGAGGTGCCTGGGAAAGGCTAAACTGTAAACCAAAGACTGCTGCCACTGGTGCCAGGCTTGGGGAGGCTTAGCAAGAATTGTGGGGCATGCTGGAGCCAGATGGTGCTTGATTGGGGTTTGTGAACCTGTGAGAGATTTTAAGAAAGTCTGTAGCATGAGTCAAGACAGGCCATTTGTATGAAAAATTCACTGCAAGTGCCTTGGATGAGCCTTCATGTTGGGTGGTGCAGGGTCTCAGGGAATCACTAGGGCAGGGTTAAGAGTGTTAGCCAGGTTAATGGAGACTGAGATATGGCCGCCACCTGCATCTGCATGGTGGGTGGGAGAGGGCTTAACAAAAAAACAATGGCTCCTGTCAGCCCTTCTATCTAAGAGAGCTTCCCCTCCAGCTCTCACCCTGAAGCTAAACAATTTGGTTTCTCCCCACACGTCCCTGGCACCCCTCAAGCTACTGCCCCAATGCTGAAGCCCAGAGCTTCTGAGTCCATCAGTGAAGTAAATCCATTCACAGTCCCTTCAAGAGGAGCACCTGGAACTCCAGCTGCCCTCCATCTCAATCAGCCACAATCTCTGCTGGTTTTCACAGCTAGAAGTTATGGGAACTTCTCTTCTCAGCACTGGAACCTTTGGCTGGGGAACCTGGTGTGGGGCTGGGACCCCTTGATCCTCAGGGAACTTTTGCAGCTGAGATATCCCTCCTGATTTTGAACTGCCACACATAGGTATGGGAACCAGCCCATTCAGCATCTCCACCCCTCCTACCAGTCTCAACATGGTTTCTTCTGTATTTCCTCAGTTATAGGACTTCTATTCAGTTGGAATGCAGGTGATTCTCAACAGTGGTTGTTCTATAGTTTAGTTGTAATTTTGATGTGGTCATGATAGGATGCAAGGAGAGCATTTACCTACTCTGCCATCTTGACCATAAATCCTATGCCTCATATAAATACCTATACGTTTTAGAGATGAGGAAACAGAGCCTCCATTGTGGTGAAATCACTCTCCCAATGTCAAATAGACAGGAGCTAGGATAGTTAGATCTGAACTGTGCCTGGATGTGACTTCACACCCTATGCTCCCAACCAGTGTGGCTATTCTGCCTCCAAGTCAGGCTGCAGTCTCTGGCCACTCAGGGTGGGCATACATGGGGCAGACATCAATTTTATCATCATATTTCCAGACTTTGAGACTCAGGGCAGCCTGGGAAAATGTCACCTAAGCATTCCAGAGCCAGCCTGGATTTCAATCCTCATTGGGCCTTTCACGAGCTATGTGACACTGCACAATTTTGAAGCCTCAATTTCTTCCTCTGAAAAATGGGACTAGTATTAATATGAACTTCATTGGGCTGCTCTGAGCATTCATTGAGCTGATGCATGTAAAGGATCTACCTCGGTGCCTCCCACAAAGAAAGCTCAACATCTTAGCAGTTAATTTTTTATTTTAGTTAACAAATCCTTACATAAGTCATTGCTGTGCCCCAGATTCTGTTCTCAGCACTATACAGACATCACCTTATTGAATCCCCTGGACAACCTTTTGGGGTGGGTTCTGTTATTCCCATTTGACAGATAGGAAACTGAGACACATGTTCTCTTGTCCAGTGTATTAGTGAGCTCAGGCTGCCATAAGAAAATACCAAAGACTGGGGGACTTAAACCACAGGCATTTACTTCTCACAGTTCTGGAGGCTGGAATTCTAGATCAGGGCATTGGCATGGTTGGGTTCTGGTGAGGACTCTCTTCCTGGCTTGCAGATGACTGCCTTCTTGTGGCCTCACAGGGAGGGAGGGAGGGAGAGAGAGAGAGAGAGAGAGAGCTCTTGTTTCTCTTCCTCATCTTCTAAGGGCACTAATCCTGTCATAGGGGCCCCACCCTCATGACCACATATAAAACTAATTACCTTCCAAAGGCCTCACGTCCAAATACTGTCCCATTGGGGGTTAATGTTTCACCGTATGAATTTGGGGGGACAAAATTCAGTCCATAGCACACAGTAACACACAGCTTATAAGGGGCAGAACCAGACTTTGAACCCAAGATGTCCACAGTCTCCAGCCCTCTACCATGATGCCACTTAGTTGTTGTTATTATTAAGACTATAATGATTCCTTGTCAAGGAATTGAGATTCACCAGGGAAAGAAGGGAGTGAATTTGAGGCTGAGGAAACACAGGTGAGAGAGAATGAGCCTTCATAAACCTACAGGTAGTCAACGAATTACAAAGGGATTAGAAGGAGAAGATGAGGTCGGTGAGCTTAGCTGGGAGCAGACCCTCAGGGTCTCGCATGTTCCAATGAGGAGTTTGAGTTTTACGCTGGCCCATGGGAGCCTCATCAGAAGGTTTGTGTGGGTCAAACATGCCTCAGTGCTTCCTTTCCATAGCAATGAAAGTGTGTGTAAGAAGGTGAGATGGGAACCAGGGGAACCCAGTGGCTTTTGTCACTGGTGGGTGTGAACTGTTGCTGCAGCCTCAGCATCCTTCATCCTTTTGACTTAGACCAATTTTCTGCTTAGATGTGGATGAATGTTCCAGAAACTCAACTCTTTGTGGTCCCAGTTCCGTCTGCACCAACATCCTGGGAGAATATAGTTGCTCCTGTCTGCCTGGGTACTTTTCACCTGATTTTTGGAATCCCAAGCAACCGGAGGCTTTCAAATGTATAGGTAAGTCTCCCAGCGACGCAAAGGACTTTTCAATGGGTGTCAAATGACCCTGAAATGTAATGGCTTATAAAAACAACCCCTTGTTTTTGCTCATGATTTTATGGGTTGACCACACGGTTTTTCAGGGGCACTAGGGTGGCCAGCAGGTCTAAAATGGCTTCACTTAGGTGGCTAGTAGTTGGCACTGGTCTCTGATTGGGAGCTTAGGTGGGCCCCCCAGTTGTCACCGTGGGCCTTTCCACATGGCTGCTTGGGCTTCCTTATAGCACATCAACTGGTTTCCAAGAAGAAAAGCTTAAAGAGAAAGAAAGCAGAAATGCCAGTCCTCATAAGGCCTGGGCTCGGAAGTCCCAGAATGTTACTTTTACCACATTCTATTGGTCATAGTCACAGGGCCAGCTTAAGTTCAGAGTAAGAAGAAATAAACCCCTGATCTTGCTGGGGAGCAGTACGTGTATACAGGCAGTGCAAGAGTTGATGGAAACCATCCTTGGAGTACCTACTACACTGCAGGATACATTTTATATTCCTCAGTCCCCAGGGGAAAGCCATGCTTCTTTTCATTGGAAATGTTCTATTTCTTCTTATTGATCTTCACTAGCTGCTGACACTGTTAGAAGCAGAACAATGGAGCTATGAAGTTGAAAGGGACCTTAGAGAGATTAATACAACTCTAAAGGCTCCTAGCAACCGATTCAGAATCCACATCAAGGGCAAGGAAACAAAACCATGGACTTCCACACCCCTTTCAGTCAAATTACCGCCTCTTATTTGTCTTACCTATTCAGCTTTCATTTCACATGAAGAAGTTTCCTCAGCCAAAAATTTTGAAAACCATGCATCTAATCCAGCTCCATATGCAAAATATAAATTCTTTCTGTGCTACTTCTGACAAGAGCTCACCTGGTCGATGCTTAAATATGTCTGGAAGTGGAGAGCTCACTCCCTGGTTCGAGATGTTTTCCATGATACCAAGAGAAAAACCACTTCCCCATATCTTCCAACCATGGGCCATTTTCATGTCCTCTGTTGACTCCAAATTAGTCTACATTCAGATCACAAGGATTTCTTTTCCCAACTCACCATGTTAATGCCCAGTGCAGTGAACCATATGCTAGTGACTAGTGAATGCTTTCTGTTTATTCCTCGTGTTTTGTGAGTTGACATAGAAATATGAGAGGTTTTGTTCTTACCTCCATGATAATGATTTTTTTCTAGAACATTCACTTCCATGTATCCTCTGTGGCTTTGAAACCCTCAGGAAGAGAGGTAACCCTGTGTTGCCACAGAGACCTGACATCACTCTGTATTTGTTAGGCCCAGGTTTCTCAACCTTTTCACTATTGACATTTCGGGCTGGATAGCTCTTTGTTGTGGGCAGAGGTTCTGTGCATGGTAGAATGTTTGGCAGTATATTTGGCCTCTACCCACTAGATCTCAGTAGCATCTCCCTCCCCTAGTTATGACAACCAAAAATGTCTCCAGAC